AATTATTATTAGAACACTTGGTTCTGAATTGTAAAATTACCAGTCGGTGCGTGTTGAGTTCGCGATTCTTTCTCCCGCTTAGGCCGGTCCCCGGTATGAAGCAAAACGAAATCAGCTATTGATAAACAAAGCCGAGCAGTTTGTACTTCCACACCACAACTTACCACTCGTCAACTTTAAATATTAAATATAGGTCAAAACTCATTGATTATTTCTAACATTAACATAGTGTCACCAAATGCACAACAAATAATCAATTTACTTAATTTTGTAAGGCAATGAAAAATGATTTTTTGTTCAGACTGATTACAGATCAATGTTGAATCTAATTAATATTATAATTAATACAACTGCCTCCGTGGCCGAACGGTTACCATGTCGGACTGCCATGCAGAGGTCCCAGGTTCGATTCCCGGGTCGGGAGAAATATTTGTATGGCCTACATTTATTTCTCTCTTGAGTTTGGGTGTAATTTGTGGTTGTCTACGTGTGTGTCCATGGCACCCGCGACACGGGGTTTCCGCAGTGCGGGGCTATGTTGAGTGTGTACGTTATTATTCTTATTATTAAAATAAATAAACGATTTAAGGTCATCTAATTTTATGATTAGTTTTACTTTTTACATTCTGTTTACATTCACAGCATACGTAATAGATTATTACATTTTGAGTTCTTAAATATAAGTTCGTAATTCTTTATTATATTTTTAAGCGATGTATTTCTAATAAATAATGAAAACTCGAGATGTGGGGAACTTGTGGGGAATATGAATTTTACTCTCCCCAAATTTGGGGATTTTAACCGTGATTTTTGGGGATTTTGAACAATTGGCATTGGCAACGCTGATTGTATCGAATGATGGGACTTAATATCCAAGGTTCACCACCTCCACCGGATCTTTTAATATTCTTTACTTTATCCATTTTTCATGAACTCTTACAACGTGCAATAGAGTAAAAACCCTAATTGTCGTATTTTTTAAAATAAAATCTACTGAAGACGCCCTATAACGTGTTTGTCAATAAGTACAAACACTTTTACGATTTTTCTACGACATTTTTCTACGATTTTCGAGATTTTGCGCTAGATAATTGACACAACCATGACGTACAAAGCATCAAAGGGTCAACTGAACACGAGTATGCGGAAATCCACGAACTGCTGGCACACGTGACACGCAAACTACGCACTTCTACTGTATTTATTTATTGTTCTGTGATTCTAGCGCATAGAATAAATAACCTAACCTAGTTAAGGTTTTTCCAACAAACATAAAAACAAATAATAGAAATGTCAATAATCTAAATGCAAGTAGCCGGCAACTGCATATAAGAGTATTAGACCATTAAATAAACGTATTGTTCTGTAGAACAATACGTAAGATAATGTCTGGTAAGATAGTGTACTATCTTACCCCAAATGCAGCAAATTCAAGTAACCTTAATATGAAAAACAACGACAAACACGATAACCTTTTGTAAGTACCTACATTACACAAGAATGCCAAGATTTTAAAAAACCGTCAAATTCTACTACACAAACGTCCATGTACGCCAACGCAATAACGTCTCAACTCAAACATTGGTAGCATCAATATCATCTACAATGGAAACCACTATGACAGCTTGGGTAGATCCGAACTACGCTTATCCTATAACACAATACACGTCAGACAACATCCCAGAAAAACAAGAATAGAAATTTTTTAAGGACAGTCGTTCACAAATCAGAATAGATGTTAAAAATAGCGACATGGATTACGAAATAGATATCAATTATCTAGATATATTTATAGGAAAGGAATTATCCATTCAACGAAAAATATGAGTTGCTGTTAACAAAAACGTCAGACCATTTTCTCAACCTAGGGAATGCAGCAGACGAGACAAACTATAGAAAATGAGGCTAATTGAAAAAGATGCTAATGAATTTAGCGTTCAATGAAAATATAGTGCCCCCAAGCTGGGTATACATGTTCCTTTTACCAAAACTCGCACTCCAATCTTTCTTCTTCTTCTTTCTAGCCGTCCTCAACCATATCGGTGTAGGCCTCCTTCAGTTTCAGCCACTTCTCTCGGTTCTGTGCACCTGTATCCAATTCAACCCCGCCACTTTCTTTATCTCATCCGTCCAACGCATCTGCGGTCTCGATCTGCCGCGTTTTTCTCTTCAAGATGGCCATTCGAGGACTGCCTTACACCAGGAGCCATTCTTTTGAGCAACGTGGCCCGTCCATCGTCACTTCTGGTGATATCCGCTTTTTTGTCTGAGCCACATATTTGTCTTGCGGTCTTTGAGTGTAATTTCCACCAATTTCCTCTCTAATGGGCTACATGTAATTTGCGAATTATGTCTTTTGGTAGCACCCAAGTTTTGGCACCATATGTTAATACTGGCAGGATACACTGGTCGAATATTACTGCTTTTTATTCTGCCGTGAGACTCATTTGCTGGCTACCCTTGCTAATTTCCTTGTGCTGATTTTCTTTACCCATTTTTATTTCCTGACCCAGATACTTACGCACCAATAACCAATAACAACCACTATTAATAATACTTGACGATTCTTGGTAATAGGGCAAACCTATACAAATAAATGGACATTGAAGACGGAACGGAGGCTTTCGACTCCGTAGATCCATACTAGTTGCAACAACGAACAAAGCCCTAATAACAAGATTATGAAGACGTGTTTGAACAAAGTTCCTTGCAACAAGCGGTTCAGGCTTATTTCTGCCGCGAAGCAGTATTGTGGGCATCATTGTATTCCAGTTTTGAAGGGTGAGGGTGCTGGTGAAATCACTGGCACATGGGATCTCCTCAGATCTTTGCGATGTAAAGCTCAGAGCGACACTGGAACTAGGGTATGGCAGGTGATTCACGTAATTAAACCGTTACGAAATTGTAGCGATTTAGCCGTTGAACTGCTTTTTCGTCTTCACGTGTGACAGTGAACGTCAACGAGTCTAATTTTTAACCGTCTTCAAAAAAGGAGGAGGTTCTCAAATCGACTTTTTTTTTGCATGTATGTTACGCGATAACTCCGGTATTTGTGAACCGATTTTCATGATTCTTTTTTGTTGGATAGGGGGTACTTCCATAGTGGTCCCATTTCATTTTGAAGAAAATCATCCACCTTGAAGGTTGGCTGTTCACGCATTCATTTTTATAAATAGCGCCTAACATTAATTTAGGAGCAATTACTTTAATGGTTGATTTTGCTATTTCTCCAATTCAAGGCGTTTTCTCTCAATATACTTTGAGTAGTGTCGTAGTGAGAACCTATTTTTATTATCTTCAGTGGCAAGTCGTGTATAGTGGCGAACTAGGGGATATTTCAATAAAACTTAGCAAATAGACGTAATTCCACGTGCTTTTGAGGTCGGTTTTTTTATTACTCTGTACTGAGATTATAAAGTCGTTCGATCCAAATGTCGTTAAAGCGTATTCTGGTATATGTATCATCTGGTAATTTACGCGTATCGCACTACAGGCGTGTCGCTTACCACAAAGCGCGTGACTTTTTCGTCGTGTCATTTTATATCATAAAATAAAGGGTAAGAAACTAGTTGAATTTCGAAAGGTCTAATCCAAAAGCCCACCGTCGCAGTGATTGTTTACTTCGTTAACAGAAGAAAGACTTAATCCAACTAAGGTCTCGGCTTTGATTTGGGTTCTGGCTCACGCTTATGTAAGAAAGAATCTGTATCTAGACTTATACTGTTTGAAATAAATAAATAAATATGACGAAAAGCATTTTTGTCATTTCAGTGCTGAAACAATGTTTTCCTCAAAAATCAAATTTACTGTCTCTTTACACGTGTGACTAGCGGGTAATTGGTTCGTACGAAACATAGTCATTTATAATTATGTCAAGATTTTGCCATAAAAGATAATGTAACCACAACATTGCAATCTCTAGGCTTGAGGATCATCTCACGTCAATCCTAAGATTCTGTGAATTGGTACTAAAAACCATTTTTCTGCTGCGACATTAATTCACACGAATAATGCCCACGGTGTGTAAACAAAGAAAGTTCTACTAAGGGAGTGAGCACACCAATCGACACGGAATCGTGTTAAGCCAGCCAAAAGACTGCTTTGTAACCGACTCCAAAAAATTATTATTAAGATTTTTTTTATTATACTAAGAGATTGGACAGAGCTTTAAATCGCAAATATCTGAGGTGCACTGCCTCTGCGCCCATCACCTGAGACGTTGCAACGTCACATGAGCCTGTAATTGTACCAGCATTCTTACCCTTAAAACCGGAAAACAGTAACGCTAACATTACTGCTTGGCGGCAGAAATAGTTAAGGTGGCAGTACTTCCCTGGACGAAAAAAGAGCTCTACAGCTACTGCTGCTGTACCTCAGTATTGGTGCCATTTAAAATTGAAGAAAATATTTCAGCTCTATAAGTAGCAAAACTAGGGGATAAATTCATTTTCTCGCACTTTCCGGTTACCGATTTCATTAAAACTTGCCAAACAGATGTAATTCCACGACGACTAACTTTCGAGGTCGGTTTTATTTACAAATAATCTCAGTACAGAATACTAAAAAAACCGACCTCAAAAAACGGTTCTCACTACTCAAAGTATATTGAGAGAGAAAAACGCCTTGAATTGGAGAATAGCAAAATCAACCATTAAAATAATTGCGCCTTAAGTAAAATTTAGGCGCTATGTATAAAAATGAATGTTCATGCGTGATCAGCCACCCTTAGGGGTGAATGGTTTTCTTCAAAATTAAATGGGACCTTTATGTAGGTTATTTCACCAAAAAAAGAATCATGAAAATCGGTTCACAAATACCGGAGTTATCGCGTTACACACAAAAAAAAATTCGTCGTCGTCGAATTGAGAACCTCCTTTTTTGGAGTCGGTTAAAAAGTTGCAATTATTAAAAAAAAATTTTTTTTTCTGACCGTGTCAAGCCACGATAATAGGTGTGGTCCCTCCCTAAGTAAAAGGTTGAAGAGTAACTATGAAACGTACCCGGTATAAAGCTGCTAGGTGATTGGAAGTTGCAATGAGGAAGGGCTGATTCACGCCTGGGTGGTCCATGTCGTGAGCTATCGCCGCCAGTAGAGAGGCCATTATCTCCAGGGGCTCCATGTAGTCACGGATCTGGATAAAAACCAATTATTTTAAATAAAAATCTTCACAGCGTATACAGGATGTGTGACCCATAAAACGTCAAAAGATTTTAACGTAATATATTTTAAAAGCCAGTGATGACCAACGGTTCTTAATTAATACTAATCGAATAAAAATGAACATTATTATTTTCGTCGAAATAGTTCGTATTTTAGATTTAAAAACATGTTCGTTGAACACATTTATTGTTTGATCAACATTTCAAAAAATCGGAATTTAATCTTTGTTAAACATCATATTTATTAAAATAACAAGTGTACCCGTTCTTTTTTTTCTTTTTTTTTACCACTGGCCAGCAATTTTAAGCATGCACAAGGCATAAGCAACATTTGGTAAGGTTGAGAAACTTCTACGAGTGCGAAGGTCCCATCTCAGGCAAATAAGATCCGCTTCTATTAACTTCACTTAACTTCAAATATAATTATTTCTAAGATTTATTTGTTTATTTATATTCCAAAAATAGTAATTTATACATCACTGCTATATTTTAAAATAACCCTCATTTTGGGCTTTGTTAACAAACATCACAACATGTCATAACATGGCCTTATATAGTTGGATACACAAAACGTAAACGTAATAAAGTACACGTAAATTTTAAAAAAATGCACATTAGTATACTTCGCAAGTAAGCTTTCGGGAAGCTCCGGAACATCTTCGCGTCCGCAATACCGTAGTTATTAAAGACAAAAGTCTTAGAGCAGTGCGTGTTGCCAGCGACGACCTATGGCTCTATGGAGCTACGGAGTTAACAATAATGCTTGACATTTCTCTACGTGATCGAATAAAAAATGAGGAGATCCGTAGAAGAACGAATGTCACCGACAGCTCAAACGATTAACAAGTTGAAGTGGCAGTGAGCAGTTCACAAAGCTCGTAGAACTGACGCCACGAACCTGAAGGCGTTCAGTGGGACGGCCCCTTACTAGATGGACGGATGGCCTGGTAAAAGCGACCGGCAAGTCTGGAAATCTTTCGGGGAGACTGAAAATCTTTTATAAAAAAACCAAATCTCAAATTAAGAGTGAATTTCCTAAGTTTCTTTTTGCAATGCTATTAAAGTACAATCTCAGTACAGAGTACTTAAAAAACCGACCTCAAAAGTACGTGGAATTACGTCTATTTGCTATGT